TAATTGAAAATACAAACCTTGTATATATATTTTTTTTTCCAGGTTTTCCCAGCCCTCGCTGGGCTGACTTAATTATCAAGACCCATCTCTTTAAGAACAGCTCTGAAACACAAATTCAGCCCTCAAACATTGATGAAGGTTTATTTAACACATTAATTTCAAGACTTAATAAAGATACAAATAACAAAAGTACATCTGACATCAAAATCATTGTAAAGCTGTCCTGCCGACATAATTGTGTTATGTAGTATATGAAACAAGCATAATCACTAAAATAATTTCTATAAGTGCTGTATGCGTAAGAAAAAAAAACACTCCCTTGCATAATTCATTGTATCAGTTTCTCATGATGGCAACATTTGATAGCAGCACCTATTCTGAAAGTGGCATTTTGACTTAACTGTATAACTCAAAGACATACCATTTTTTCCTGCGTGTTGACAAATATAAATTTGGCGATTAAAGCTGCCGTAAGATGACAATCGTGGATATCGTTCTAAAACTAGAGTATATGGATATACTCTATTAAATATATTGCACATATAAAATGTCTATATCCCAAAGCTATTCTTTATCATATAACTGTGTAACGTTGTTCTTTGTTCATAGACATTTTGTTAACTTTGCAATTTTTCTTGAGCTTCTATAAACTTTGGTGACTGAAAGAGAGAAACAATAAAACAAATTATTACCTATTAATCATCGCCATTTGTCATTGTTGTTATAAACTGATTTCATTGCCTAAAATACTTGTAATAACAGACAATAGACTTACTCCCATCCACGTTGAGCTGCGTTTCTTTTGCCGAAGAACAAGCGATTCTTCTCCGCCCTTAGATGGATTAGATTTTCCACTTCTTGGTCGGAACCTGTGATAATTATTTAACACTTGGCAAACTGTCTATTAGTAATGATACAATGTTACGACCCTTTTTAGATGGTCTAGGGTTAAAAGGAGTAACATCTGCATTTAAGATAGCCCGTCGGGCAGAGTGGTGATATATTTTGGTAGCCCGACTGGAAAACACAATAGCCCCAGGACGTCGGGCTAGCGATTTTGCGAGCCCTGCTGTGTGTTCAGTTCAAAGCAGTAATAGAAATTAATAATTTCCATCAAGTTTTATGGGCATTTTTACCTTTAAGCCATTTTTTCTAAAAGTGTGCACCATCTTTTGAGTCAAATTTTTGCATTTGGGCTGTTACCAAGCAAATTAAATCAGTATAAACAAAATGTATCTTTGCAATGCAGATAAAACACAGAAGCAGCATTAGAAGTGTCATTTAGATGCATTTACACACTGTTTAATGCAGCTCTGAGGGACATTAAATACTTTAACCTGCAATTACAAATGCATAAATAATGTTTTGATATTTTAAACATAAAACATTGAAAACTGATGTTTGAAATTATTTAAAAAAAATGAAAAGGTACCTTAAATGTGAAATTAAAACCGCCAGCAGGTGGCAGCAAGTCACTGTTAAACTGAGTCATTGCGATTGAACCGAATCATTTAAACGGTTGATTCATTCCGGAACGAAACAGCGTCCTGTTGCTCAGAGATGCAAAACAGCGCTGTGGCGGTGTTTGAAATGATTTTTGTTGGAGAAATAGAGCAAAAACAGGAAATATGGTGTCTAAAACGTAAGTCTCTTAATATTAACTACTTGTTTATTGAACTGTTGTATAAAATCAATATCACATTTGTAATCATGCTTACTTTTGGAGAAAAAAAAAACATATGAAATGATATAAATATTTACATTTTCTGCCCCATATCTTAAATTATGTGATAATTCTAAATGCATTTTAATAGACTGATTCGTGCAGTGAAAGAACGCACTGTAAATGCATATGCGCACTAGTCTAACCTGCTAGACTTCATCACCTAATGTGTGCGTACACTCTGTAGGTCTGTTTTGTGTTTGCTTTTCGCGATATACTCATAATATCAAATTGCACATCATTGAAACAACAATTACGATATTATCGCAGACCATATATCGCACACCTATGTTTAGATTTTTATAATGCATTGTCTTCTTATCGATCCACCAATTCACATTTAAAGCTCTGCGTGTTTGCAGGGTAAAAACATGGGTCGATTTTCGCATTGGTCTGAACTCTGAACAAAACAACAGTTTTATTGAAAATGCTCATTCATTCTCTGACAGCAGGTGGAGCGTTTGGTAGAAATATAACTGTTTCCCCGGTAACGGCAGAACACAAAGCAGCGCAGCACCGGACTTTGAA